GCAAATTTTACATTAAAATAAACGATATGTCATTGGTAGCAGAAACAAGCTTATTGAACTTTTATGTACTGAAAGATATCTATTAGATTCGGAAAAATTTAACAGAGACCGACTGAATTTGAACTCGGGATCCCTCGTCTATCGATCCGACACTTAGTCTGCACGACCACGACGGCTCCTCTCTGTTAGCTGTTTATATTCCGAATCTCTTTTTATGACCGCTTACGGTCGTCTAATTCTTACAGTACATAAATTTAAAAAATGAATTATCAAGTAAATGAAGTCAATGAATTATCAAGTAGTAAGATCCAGTCTTGACTGGAAATATATATATTTTATATTTCTTGTGTTTAAACACATTATCACATTAGGTTTTTAAATATTTTTATGTATTCAAGACCATATTTTTTGAGTTATTTTATTTATATATTTTTCTCTTTAATTACTATAATCTATGATATTGAATTAGTACTTACTCTTTGCTTGTAAGCCTCTGTTACTATTTTGATCTTTGTATCCACGTATCAGATTGGTAAGAACGGCAAGTATTTCAACTTGCGTCGAGATGATTTCTTCTCGTGTCGGTTCGCATCTGGCCGCTACATCGCTCAGCAGTGTATTTAAGCAGAAGCTGAAACGTTCCGCAACTGGGACACGCTCAGCGAGCGAACACTTTATTTCATCCCGCCATACTGCTTTTGGAAGACCACGCAGTAATCTCAACAAATATGGTAAAATTTTATCCCGGTGTTGTAAACCAGATTCCAAAAAATAAATTCCCAATGCAATGGTTGCATCTTGACCTCTCTGATCTAAGCGAAATACACCCTGAGCAGATTCTTGTGGACATAACTTGTATAGTTTGGCTACCTGCAATTAAGCATATTAATTAATATAAAAATGTTATTTTTGCATTTTGATAAAAAGTAAATTAATTTAATTCTTTGAGTCATAGAAAAGAAATTTTTTTTTTTAAAGAGAAATTTTTTTAAACCACAACATTGTACATTTTATTTTAATTATCTTTTATCTTAATTAATATTAAATTGCATTTTAATTGAAATTTTAATTAATATTAAAATTAATATTTCAATTCAGATTTGAATTTATATTCTATAATTACAATAATGTACATAGGTAAAATAGGTAAAAATCGTAATTGTAAGATATATCAATTTTCTGCTATATTTTATAAATGTAATTGTACACAATTATATTAAATAATTCTTAAAGTTTATTTTTACGCTACTGTAAAAACACATTGCTGTCGAGATTTTTTCTTCGTCATTGTACAAGTTGTTATTATAATTTTTTACAAGACAGCAGTGTTAATTATGTTTCGTGGATAACTATAATACTCATAAAATGACGTGATGTCCTTTGAATTATGTCATAACATGAAAATGTCAGGATGTCAGCTGACATTTCCTGTGGGGTCAACCCTAATATAAATTGGTGGAAACGCAAAACTGTAGCAGCAACTGTCCATGATCGAAGAATAATTCGATTAAAAGATGATTATTAAACCATAACTTACTTTTTCCCACGGTGTAGGCTTAATAGCGGCCAAACATCTTGCCAATTGTTGGACGGCGTTCGAGAAAAACAACCTTTCGTCCGCCATCATCTTGCCGATCGCCACTCTACTGAACTGGAATAATTTCAGTTGCGTTCCATTCGCGATAAATGTCAGTAACGTCGTCTGCTAGCGTGTGTTCGTAAAGTCGCAAAAGAAGCGGAAGACCTGTTCTATAAATAATTTAAGTCCTGTCTTAGTCTCGGTCTACAATAGGTGATTTAAGCCTTAAGCCATAAGAAATTGACCAATCATAGTCGAGTATTCTTTTCATCTTTTGACTCCGATTGATCAAATCCTTATAGCTCAAGTTTTATGGCTTAATCTGAGCGTGGACAAGGATGTGGACAAATCTTTAAATATTTTTTTTTTAATTTATCTAAATAAAAATTACGGACTTGCTGATAGAATATTATTTCTTTTATTTTAATAGATTGTAACATGAGAGTATAGTTTTAATAAGTAATAAAATTATATTTTTATACAATTCCTGTCATAGAGCTTTTTATCCACGATAAATAATACTCTAATTTTTTTATGCATAAAAGTATACTCTTTGTTGACAAATTTGCATCGTTATTATGCTTTTGTGAAAATCTCTTTGTGAATTCTTGGTTGCCGCTCGGGACCTTGCTGATTGAAATTTCTTTCTTGGCTGCTGTTAACAATCGATGAAGCTCAGACAATGCCGCGGCTATGTAGACAGTTTTCATCTCAGTGCCTGGTCCTTGTAAAATGGAAATGCCAGCTTCTCTCAAGGCCACTATAGTTTGTTCATCTTGTGGCAGCCAGTCAACCTACATATTTGTTAAATTATACATAATATACAAATAATCTTAATAAAAAAACATATGTGCACAAGCTACTCACGCTTTTAACATTTTTGATAACCGATTCAATTGCCGAATCCATATCTTTGAAGACTTCATTGTTTTTCATATTTTCGCATATCATCAGAAAAACATTAGCAGCTTCCTCGGGACAATCCAGATAATCACCGAGATAATAAAGAGCGATATATGCATAAGCATGTATCACATTTGTCACGTTAAAGTGTATACAAGGAGATGCTTTCTGAATATGAATAACGTTTAGTTGTACTACTCCATTGTATTACTATCAGCTTTTATTATAACTGATAACTGATAATTTTTTACCTGCAATTCCTTAAATAATGGTACATCTACCAAAGCAGGATACTTCAAGTCATTATAAGTGTCTTTAATATCCTCTTCGATGGATTGTATTAACTTTTCCTCCACATGATGAGTCCACCATGGTACCCACTTTGGCAACAATTTTTCTGCCTCTCCATTCTTTATCAGTGCCTCGAATTCTTGCTTCTCTGCTTCAGATAAAGCTGACCAAAGTTCATTTGGATCTTCAAAATTAACATTCTGCAGTCTGGTTTCTAAATCAAGAAGCTAAAGGAAACATAAAAAAATAAAAATATTTGTTAAATTGCAAAATAGATCTCTAAAACATATAGATTTTTACAACATCAGATATAATTACTTCTTGCTCATCGTCTGAATCCAACGAACAGTCTTCACCACTGGAACTCTCTTCATCTAAATTTTCTTTTAGGATATTATCCTCTTGGTCTGCCTCATGTACTCTCTTAAGGATTTCTATCATCTTTTGTCTAACAACTGGATCATTCTCCTGAGACTTTAACTCGTCTTCGACACACTGCCTGTAAAAGCTCTCAGAACAGTCCATGTGTGCATTCGATTTGTAACATTTCGCTTCGCAGTAGCCTATACCACATCGTGGACAAGTATACAAGCGTGTACGTTTGTTGCATCTGATACAAGCGAAAGAAAAATAAATATACTAATACAACAAAAAAAAATAATTCATGATAATTACAATACTCTTAGTCATAGCAAAATTACTCTGGTAAAAATAAGAATTTGGAGCATAAGAGAAAAGCGACAAAGGTGTGAATAAAGCTTATAAGAAGTATAAATATCATTGAAATGAATAAAACAAGATTTTAGAAATTCTTCTTTACATTTTAATGTATACTTCCCAGAAACTTCGTTCACGCTTTTGTCTCTTTCTCCATTATACTTATGCTCCAATCTCTCTATTTTTACTAGAATAATTTAAGAATTTACTACAATCTCTTACAGTCATATGCAAATACCTCTGGCAAATGATATTAAATATGAAAAGAAAGAAAGATTGAGCTTACAATTCACAGAGATTAGTGGCGGAACTTGTGCTAGGAGATTCCATTGTTCTGAATACTTCTGACAGGACGCTTCTATTTACGTAAACACAATATTTGGAACATCTAAATATCTAAAATGAAGAGAATATTTAATCTGAAGAGGTAAAATATATTACATTCGAAAAAGTCCTATTTTATCGATTGACTCAAGGTCGTGATTTCTCACTGATCTAAAAGAGGTCGTTCCACGTATCATTTCTGGCCCCCTCCCGTTCGTGGAACTGCAAAGGGCGACCACTTGATTTGACTAAACGCTAAGTTAGAATATACAGAAAAAAAAAATCACTCGCGCGTTCGATTCGCTTTCTCGCATACTTTGGACCCATCGGCGGCGACAGTTTCCTTTCAAAAGAAAAAGAGAGATATGCAACCGGCTACATATTTCGAATGCATAACAATAAGTACATTACTCTTATAAGTACATTATTCTTGCGCGCGGTTTTTCTACTTTTTTTATTCTCTCCGCCCTGCTATGCGCATGACGTAAATACATGCTACATACGATAAGCAATGGCGCCGCATCGCGGCTATCGTTATCTCCCCTCCTCTATTCCGCCGGTTGCTCGCCGATTGGCGCTGCCGAGCAAACCGCGACAAAAACAAGTGAAAATCAGACGGAGTGAGTCACTTTGAGTGCGTCGAACAATCAGGTGTTTCGTTTTCCAGTAATCCCGGAGCTCTTCAGAATCGGACGTTTATTATTTTTCGCTTAAGAAGCACGTCCTTCTCTCTCTCTCTCTCTCTCTCTCTCTCTCTTTCCTCTCACTCATCTCCCACTTATGTTTCATTCCAACATCCACCTCGTAAAATTATAAATTTCACGAGAAAGAGTGCTTGTCGACAGCTATTCGCAGAGCTATCTGGCGACGTCACCGTCGCACCTGTTCTATCCCTTCAACTCAATCCCAAACCCAAATTTCTGTCATCAAACGGCAGTCGCGAGGAATTTCTGACGTGAATACGCGAACAAACATACACACGTATTATCTTATCCGGTATATCGAGTGTCTCGTGATACGATCGCCCTGGTAATAATTAACGGCTAGGTGTGCGCCGCATCGTCGGAGAATTGCAGCTCGCCTATCGTCCGCTCCCCCCTCCCCCCTTCCCGAGCGGCGCACTTTTAATTCGTTCTCCACGGTCTGCATCCGACGACGAGATTTCAACATGGGCGTTGAGGACAAGGTATTATTACCTATGAGTATAAGTGTATGAATGTTTTTTTTTTTTTCTATATATATATCTAGTATTGCGCTTCGGAATTTTTTCCGTCGCATATTTGTGCAATGCGCGCCTTAATTAACTCGCTTTAATCACTTCTCGGAAAAGCATATTTTTCCGACCTTGGTTCCTCTTCCGTCGCTATTTTTTTTTTTTTATTCTGCTTCAGTTCATCTCAAGGTTGAGAAGCACGTGTAGGTTCATCGTAATCGATGTTGTTTTGCGATCCCTCCAGGATGCTGTACTTTTCCGCCTATTTTTAATCTCCTCCATTTTTCCAAAGTTGGAAAATACGCGTTCACTCATCGATGTTGTTTTCCGATGCTTCCAAGCTATGTCTTTCCGCTTTATTTTTAATCTCATCGATTTTCTTGAAAAACACATTTTTTTTTCTTTTTTTTTCTTTTTCTTTTTTGTTAAAGATTGCTGTTTTCTAACTTATTTAGGCGCTTTTTCTGCCTCATTTTTAATTCGTTCCCCGAGGCTAAAAATCTAATTAAAAATTTTCTGATTCTTTTGAGTACTTCAGACTTGTTCATCTTATTTCTGATCTCGATTTCCTCAAGTTAAAAACCGCATTTATTGAAAATTGATGGTGTTTCCTGGCTTATTTAAACGCTATTTTTTTTATCATTTATTATTTATATTTTACCTCATTTTTCCGCCTCATATTTCCGTTTCATATTTCCGCCTCATTTTTAATTCGTTCAGTTTTTCCAAAGCTGAAAACTAAAAAATTAATGCTTTATTTTTCAATCCTTCTGAATATTACGCTTTTCTGCTTTATTTTTAATTTTGATTTCCTCGAAATTAAAAAATCCATTTAAAAATCAATGATGTTAATATATTCATGCGCTATGCCTTTTTCGTCTCATTTTTAATTCTTTTAATTTTTTTGAAGTTAAAAAAACATTTCTAAAAATTGATGTGTACATATGTATATTTCAACTTCTCTGCTTTTTCTGTTTTTTTTTTCCACCTCTTCCCGCTGGTATATTTAATTTTATTAGACACAGAAAAACGTACGGAGAAGTCCACAGTTTCGGACAATTTTCATCAGTTCTTATAAAACAAGAATTGTGGAAATTTCCCTTCATTCTGTTTATTCCTTCTCTCAATGTCTCTCGTAGAAAAGAAATAATGAAATAGACATGTTTACTTGCATATAACTCTCTGTCGTGGGAGACAATTTTGCTTTTCCGTACAACGTTGATTCGTGTTCTTTTCTCCTTATCTATTGTTTGACAGGTCGCAACATGTTCCCCTGAAATGTTTTTATCAATCTGTGGAATATATGGTGTTTTTATCCTCGGAAACACGCGCGAAGATAGGTCGACAAAAGTCGTTAAAATAGAGTCTGACACCTTTAGTCCGTTTTTCGTTTACTAGTGTGTACCTAAAATGAAATGATATATATTTGACAAAAACGAGATAGGAAGTTTTAGTGCAGCTCGGTGCAGCAACAGAAGAACAAATCTTTTGTATTCATTTACAGACACTTACTAAAAAATTCCTGTAAATAAATTGAAATTGGCGCAAACTGACCGCAGCGCAAACGCACGCCGATTAATTTATCTCGGCAGATTAATGTGCGCAATATGTTAACATGTTATCATTCAAATGCAACGTTGCAAAATGAAAGTTATCGTATCTACGCATACGATAAAGTGTACTTCGATCCCATTTTTCTGTTTCTGCCGAAACTAAAATACGCTGCGACGTAAACATCCGGAAACATACAAGTTTTGTTTGACTTAAATTTGCTTGTAAACATTAGATATCTATCTAGGAATGAAATAGAAAAATATAAAGAGATACGTCCCGAAGTAATGAGTCCACTTTCATTCAAATGGGAACCATCGATTCCTCGATATATTCAGATGAAATCGATTTTTTTTTTAACTGGAACCCAAGAAATTTGTAAATGTGAAAAAAATAAGAGCGAAACACAATATACTTGGATGTTGTGCGTCTGCAGGGGGGGGGGAGGAAGGAAGGAAAAGTTGCGAAATGTTGACCACGTGCGTACAGCATAGCGCAAGGAAACAATATCGCGACTTTATTTAATTGCACTTTATACATCCGACGTTATTTCTCCAGAATTCTTTCTTACAAGACCCGATGGAGGTGCAAAGATCTCCTACGCAAATGGGACATTGTTACGAAAAATGTTTGTCACGTCCAAGTCGGAAATGCGGTCAAGGAGTGCTCAATATCGTATAAATAGAGATTGCCACTAGCATCGAGATACTTTACTCTATTCGCTCCTTCGGGGAGAGTCATGAAGACATGAGATTTATTTGATCGTATAGCCCGAGGGTGGAATGAACATCTATTCACCTCTCTACTCAAAGATGCTCCAAAAAAAAAAGATAAGACTCATAAGATGTCCCTAAGGATCTATAAGACATATATGTTATCATATGATTTTTTTTTATAAAATTATAAATTATAAAAATTATAAAATCATGAGCAAAGAAAGCCGATCAATCGCCTATGTGGCGCAAATCTCATCATTTTATCTTATTAAATTACAGAAAGAGAATTGATTTTTTTTGTGGTTCAAATATCCTCATTTGTGTTGAAACATATTAATATTCTTCATTGTTTGCAGCGCATTTTTATATTTTTATAAAATGGATAAATAAAAATAGTGACCGCAGAATAATGGTGTGTAAATAATTAACATGTTATGTGTGAATAAGATGACGTTAATTGTTTGTATTCTATGTTTCATTTAAATTTATTTTAGATTATATACTTAATATAAATAATAATTTTTGTTTAAAAAATTTTTTTAGATCATAAATAATTTTTTTTTCTATTTATATATTCTTGAATTAAACTATAGTAGTAACATAATACAAGAAGTTTTACAATAAATCATTTCATTTACAAAAAAGTTCATTTTTTACTTTAGTTGTCATCTGCCACGTGTTACTTAGCCGCATATGGAAATAAAATGACGAAATCGATGTTTTTAAAAATAATAAATTTTAAAAATTTTAATTTATTTATATTAACTTTCTAATGTTTATGGATTATAATAAACAAGTCGTTAGTAAATTTGAAAAAAATTAATTATTTTTCATCAAAAATATTAAGAAAAATTATCACCTTTTCCTTTAAACAAAGGAGAAATTATTTTTTTCCCTGTTTTCCCGTTTAAAAATAGAAATTTAAAAAATGTAGCTTAAGACTTCGATATAATGTCGACAATTAAATTTCTTAAATATTAATCGATGCTTTTTTAGTACCAATTAGGCAACAAAAAGAATTATAAAAGTTGACAAAAAAAGAAAAAAAACAAAAAAATAATTAAATTATATTTATCTTGAAGGATGATATTCGCAAAGCCGTTTCTCCGCGAATTCTTCATTTGCTCGCTCGGTCACGCGTGTATGCAAAACATTTACGTTCGTACATCGACGAAACGATTGCGAATATTCGTCCAAGGATGGAAGCTTCGCGGAATTGAGCTCCACTGACGTGACGTTATGACGCATGCGTTGATTTGCGCTCTTCCTGTCAACAGCAGATGATCTCGATTGCATACGCATGATCGCAACTTTTGGCATGATATTCGCATCCACTTATAATTATCACGAGCCCGATCTCCTGATCTCCGTTAACAAACAAACATCCTTTGGATCTGTGTTGCACATCTTGCTTTCTTGGCTTCCTCTGTCATACACCTTCGTCGTCAAGTAATTGCTTGGATGATTTATCAATAGCCGGTGAGAAAGAATTGTGCTCTGATTACCCAAAGAAAGAAATGACGTGACTTCTTTTGTGTACGGAGTCTCTTAAAGTTATCGCAGCTAACGGTCTTCTTTTGTTTCAGATGTCGGAGAAGAACCCTGAGATGAGGGAAACTGCCGCTAGGATCTGTCGAGACTACCTGCATGGCGTATGGAAACATATTTCAGCAGAAAACATTATTCTTAAACGTATCAGGTTTGTGAAATTCCTGTGTGAAAATTATACGTCATCCAGATTGCAATTAGATGATTTGGCAAAACGAATTCATTTGAATTAATGAAACGTGATAATTATTTTTAGCGGTGGTCTCAGTAACTGGCTGTACAACGTCCAGCTGCCCGAAGGAACGGTGCCGATCAGAGGAGAACCTCGCCAAGTTTTGATACGTCTCTACGGACAGGTACACGGAGAGAGAGCTTTGGAAGGACTTATCACAGAATCTGTTATTTTTACTCTGTTGTCTGAGAGAAAGCTTGGTCCCAAATTACATGGAATTTTTCCTGGTGGTCGCATAGAGGAGTATATACCAGCCCGACCTTTGCTCACGAAGGAGCTGGCGGATTCGACATTGAGTCTATTGATCGCGGAGAAGATGGCACAGATACATACAATGCAGATACCAATCAGCAAAGAACCCACGTGGATATGGGACACGATGAACAACTGGCTTAATATGGCGACGGATATTCTCGAGAATAGCGACGACATTGATAGCCGGCAATTGGAAAATATTCGTCTAATAAAATGTTTGAATCTGGAGAAAGAAATCAATTGGCTCGAGTAAGTAGAAACTTTTGCAAAAAAGACATCATATGATTAGAGACTTAAACTTTATAATCTTTATCTTCAGAACAATTGTGAAGCAACATAAATACCCAGTTACTTTTTGCCACAACGACATGCAGGAGGGGAATATACTTTTACTTCAAAATACGCGAAAGCCCAAGTTAGTACTTATTGACTTCGAATATTGTTCCTACAACTATCGGGGATTTGATATCGCCAATCATTTCGCCGAATGGTTATACGACTACACAGCATCGGAATATCCTTTCTTTCACGAACATACGACCGCTGGCCCCACGAAGGAGCAAAAGGTAAGCATGAATTAGAGAACTAGATTGGGATGCGATTATTCGGGTAAGATCTCTTGATTATCTGTTCAATACATTTCATCCAATGTGTTATCATATCATGAATACTTTCGTGAGCAGATCAAGTCATTGATAACATAAAATAAAAGATAAGTATATCTAGTACAACGATATTTTATATAACAGAACCGATAAGGGAAATTTGCAGTAAGCAAAGGAAACACTTGTGAGATTTGATATCGACAAATAAATTCTTTCTTGAAATTAGGTAATAATCTTCTTTTTTTGTTTTTTTACAATTATTAATATTTATGATGAATAACCAACACTTGCATTTAATTCAGAGATGCAAATTTAAAAATAACGCGCGTTCCGTATGTGAATCACCGTGGAAATGTAACGTACAAATTATCTCGGTTAAAATTTTATATTTAATTTTTTGCGACGAAACACAGCCCTCGGTTACAAGTATCGTGTTATTCGGTATTGTTGTACCAGGGCACAGTAGGTAGGGTGTCGGCTTGGCGTGTGCTGCGTGTGTATATATTAGTTTCACAGGACCGCAGTCCGTCAAGACAAGGCTGATGCCTGCAATCAGAGAAAAAATTGGCCGGCAATGTGAAACTCTCTGTGCTGTGATGGATCCCGACTTGTGGGTGCTCTACATTTGTGTGGGAACCAGGGTGCCACCGGTACCACCGTCTTGGCAGCACCAATCCGCTCGTCTACGATTATAGAGTACCTGTACACTCTCCTAACTAGTCAATTCATAGCCTGCGTACCCTCTTTCGAACGTATCTTTTCGGAATAGCTGTGTTATTAAAAGTGCATTACCTTCCGTTGGAGCACTTTGAATACACGATTCTGTATGCATAATTAAATATGTGCTGAATTCATACCATGAAGTTTCTAAACAATTCAGGCTACTGACTGATAATTTATTATGAAACATTAATGGGAATCTTTAAATAGGAAATACTTATCTTCTGATTATACGTAATAATTGATAGGCGTGAATGATTCATGTCAATCATTTTTTTTTCTTACATTGATATTAATCGACAGAATTGATGTATCTTTTAATTTGTATTGCATAATGCATCACAAATTATTTTTTCTATAACGCTTGATATTTATTTGATAATTAAAGTTCTGTGTCTGTTTAATTTATTCATATTACTGCAATTTTGTTCTCAATGTATTGTAAAAATTATTTTGACAAAAGTTATTGCATAGTTTTTGCCATACATCATTAAATATTTTCAATATACGAATAAATTAAAAGATTAAATAAAATAAAAAAATATAGGGTAATCCTTCTCTTTAATATTATAGTTTTTACAAAGTGGTTTTTCTCTACAGCTCAACTTTATAAAAACCTACCTAAGAACGTTGGGGAAAGAAGGATCTGTGGAGGAGGAACGCGTCATGGCTGAAGTAAGAGTATTTTCGCTAGCTAGTCACTTGTTCTGGAGTCTCTGGAGCATCGTAAACGCAAAACTCTTACAGATTCCATTTGGCTATTGGGTATGCATTTTGTCTTGTATTTTCGTTTTTCGCGTTTATGTCCACAATTCTGTTTAAATAAATTATTATTACATCATGATATATGTTTTAGGATTACGCCGCCTCCAGGTTGAAGAATTATATGTATTTAAAGGAAAAGTTTATTATCTCTGGACCACCAGCCTCGGATGACAGCCTGAAGAGAAAATCTATGGATATAGATTGAAGGAACAAAATTGAGTAAGAGAAGATGCATTTGCAAATTTATATAAAATTTCGCTACACGCTAGCTACCTTTATTTAGTCCATCGATTCTATCCGATGGCGTTAATAATCTTTGACGAGCGGCGAAATTACTCTTAATGGAGTTTTGTTAAGTCATTATTTCAACCATCATGAAATAATGTACTCCTCTGCTTTCTAACTACATAGTGCATTATTTACGATACACGATGTAAGTGAAACAGATCGAGAGTAAATGGAAAGTCAATCATGTGATATAGAATAAGAGTACTTAAACGTATGGATTCGTTTAAGTACGTTAATTGCGCTCGTCTAAATTGATTTTAGAAAAGTGAGAAATAGAGTACTAAGGTGTACTTAATTTTTTTATTCGGAAGACTTTTTTTTAAACAAATGATGCATTAGCCAACTTTTTTTTGAGCTGATATTGAGACAAGCTGAAAAATTTATAGAATTATGTGTTCAAATTGTAAAAGAATTCATAATTTCTGAACATATTATATATTAAACTTTTTTAATTTTTATATATTTATTATAAGATTGTTCCAAATTATTGCCAACCATATCGCGTCCATTGCTATTCGCGTTTTCGGTTGTTCAGTTGTTATATATGTATAAATTAGTTGTAAATAGGACTAGCAATATTTGCTATAGCATGTTGTTTTTACTTAAAGTTGTATAATTCATGTACCATAATTAAGTATAAGTACTTAATATTATAACAGAGAATAGCATTTAATATTCACTATCGAAATGTACCAATGACGCACCGATAATTAAAATGTATTTTCACGAATTTCCAAATAAAACATCTACCTTTTGTTTCTATTTTGTATTTTCTTATAATTTCCTATTTAAAAAATTGCAATTAATGTCAATCTTTTATGATGCAAAGAAGAAAAAGAAAACTATCTATATAAATGCACATAAGAAATAATTGTTCATATTTATTGACGACATATTAAAAAACTGATTTTATAATTGCAAGTACGCGAACCAACATAACAAACGGATAAGTCGAAGATGGCCTGCATTTTCAGAGAGTAAGGATTTCAGAGGCCCTTGATTCCAAAAGTTTTTCCATCGAACTAACATCCTTGCACCATCCATCGAGGCGTTGTACCATTCCGGCGATCTGACTACGATCCAGAACACGCGGTTGTACCCAAGTCATATTAACAGTGCCTGCCACTTGATCTATGGCACCTCGCACGAGGCCCTGAGCAAGAGCTTTCATCACTAGCAATTCTACTTCACCAAGAGGCAGGCGCGTTTCTTGCGAGATTTCCGCAAACGTCAATTGCCTGTGATGAGAAACATCGTACGTTATTGTCAAATCATTTAGTTCTTGAGGATTTAAAAAGATTACTACTCTCACGATTGAAATATACATACCGATTATTGGCTTGCCGCTTGAAAGTCATTTCCATGAGACACAACAACGAGATTTTTTGTCTCAATTTTAATTCTTGTGCCGCCAGATCAGCCACTTTACTCCATTGTGGTTTCAATCTTTCCAACGCGACGATATCGCCAGCATTGAAGGCCTGTAACAGATCGACGAGCCAGTTGTTCGGCGTGCCTTTTAATGACTCCAAAACAGGATGCGCCAATAATTCTCCAAGATTGTAGACTCCTTCACCTAAGAGTGCCGCGAGTCCGAGGAAGAAGGCATGCTGTTCTTGTTCTTGTCTGCTCAAGCTGTTTAATTCGATGCAACCTAGATATCTTTATAAAAAAAATTAAATAATTAGTTCAAATAAAAGTAGAAATTTACAGACTGCAATCTTTCCATAAGTTTATATGTATTATGAGTAACTTTATGTCGTACCTTAATGCTGTACGATAATATTCTGCATGTTTGCCTTGTAGTCTATATAATCGGCTGGCGAGAAGGTAAAATCGTCCGTGAACCGTCGTAACACCATCGGCGTTATCTAACATAGCTTCAACTTCCTCTATGATTTTCTTCGCTTGCTCTTGATTGTTCAGTTTATCCAAAAGAATCTGTCCCTTGAGAACTTTACATAAAGCAATAGCTTCATTGTTACTCTGGACTTTGGTCTCTGTTTTTTCCAAGAATTTAATTGCTTCCTGCTTATCTTGATATTGTTGTATTACATGTGCCAGTATCTCCACTAATGATAATGGATTTATCCTTCACAAAAAACATAATAAATTAATAAAAAGCAACACGTAGAACAATATAATACAGATTTTTATAAATAAACTAATATACATTCAATATACTTAAAATGTTTGTAAATTTTGGCAAAGAAATAAAATTTAGTACAAAAAAATTTTAATGATAAAAAAAATCTTCCTTATAATTAAACTAGTAATATATTCGTTGTACTTAAAATATGTCTTTGAACTTTAATAAAAATGGGGCAAAATTTTTAACATAACCTAACAATAAAGAACAGGTATTGTCTTATGTATAAAAATATGTCTATTCCTATTAATGTAGATTAACCTTAATGTTGATATAATTCTTCATTTTTTTACTTTTAGAAATTAATAAAAAAAAGATAAAAAGTAAGTTAAACCAAGATTAAAATGAATCTACATTAGAAGTAAACACATCGCCATATAAGGTATTGTAATTATTTAATATTTAAATTTCTGATACACTTCCGTACTCACTTGTTTTCGAAAGTTGATAGAAAGTTAACATACAACTGCACAAGATTATCTCCCTGCTGTAGCACCGGATTCTTCACAAACGTCTCCAATTTCAGCGTCAGCTGATGCCAAAGCCTGCAAGTCACCGAGGCCGAGAAAGTTTATCATCATGTTTTTCTATCAATATGGTATTCCATCACACGAGATATCATACGATCGTATTACCGTTTGCTATGTAACTCCTCGAGCTGTGCCCACTCCGCGGCCAATTCCTTATCCGCAACATTTTGGTTTTGACTGAGAAAAGTATTAACATCCTTCACTGCCACGGTTGCCGCCATGCTTGCCGATGATGAACACGAGAGATGTCACTTAGCTCCTTTTAGCTGCCCGAATTGCACTCTACACTTTATATTAGATCAGTGCCAACCTGCGTTATACTCCAATAAGAAAATTAATCTCCTAGAGATTTTAACCAGCGTTGATTTTTGTCCAATGGCTACGTTCAGCAGAGAAAGCAGATCAGTGAGCGCTCAGTGATTTTTCAATATGATTGTTCCTTGCTTTTAGATCTTCGTTGAATGTTAGTGTAGAAACCAATCATAACAAGGAATCACTGAACGCTACTGATCTGCTTTTTCTGCTGAACGCAGCCATTAATTATAGAAATGTCTGTAAAAAGTTAATATATTAATATACTAATGTAAACAATATAAATTTAATATAGAGTGAGTATTAAAATAAGTGATCCTATTTTGATAGCGCTTTGATATTTTACTCTTTCTGAAAAATTATAAAAACATAGATCTTTTTTTCCAATATAAATACCCTTGATTTATGAATTATTTTAGGAATCCTTAAAACTTACTTAAGGAAATTGTTAAAAATGATTTGCTTCTGCAATAATACAAGCTTCACACCGACGTTTCAAAGATTATCGAGAACATTCAAAATTTCTGATGTATTCCATTTACTATTTAAAAATAAAAAGCGTAACATTGTGCGATTTGATATTTATTTCTGACATTACAGATAGCCGAAAGATTATATAATCACGCTATTAAATAAAAGATAATATTTACAGTTTAACACGATGCAGAGTAATCCGAAGTCCGTGTTCAAACTATGAGCGAACTTTTTACCGTGCAGGGATGATTACATTTAGTATAACGGCGATTGATTTCTTCCTTACAATTACGTTCTTAGCAGCTATGTATGATGGATTTAATATTGTCTTAATATATTACATTTTACAGATAATATACAGTTTGATGCATTATGTATCTATAACTGTACATTAATATAATTGTATAATTGTACTATAGAGATCTAAGAGTATGTCAACATATGATTTCAATATTTGGGATTTCTCATACGAGAATATGGAGTTTCAAAAACGGAGCACGATTACAACAATAATTAAAGATAATGAACACGTTTTTGTTCTACATGTTTAATCTCACTGTTTGTAAGTTCACTGTTTTGTTATCCCAACATTCGAACACTACTCATTAAATTTCTATAGAACTGGCTAATGTTAAAACATCGCAAAACGTCAGGTCTTTACATAAATGTTTTGAAGATAGATTTACGATGAAGAAAGGGCAGCGACTCCGGGTAATACCTTCCCTTCCAGGAGTTCTAAACTTGCACCGCCACCAGTGCTCACGTGGCTCACCTTATCTTCCGTTTTCCATTTTGCCGCGCACGTCGCCGTATCTCCGCCACCAATGATGGTAATTGTTCCCCGAGTCGTGGCCTCGACGACATTGTCCATTAAACTTTTTGTGCCCTTGCTGAAGTTCTCGAACTCAAATACACCCACTGGGCCGTTCCATACTATAACTTTCGCTCTCTTAATTGGTTCTGTATCAAATAGTATACAATTAGCAATGTCCATTAATATATACTTAGGCTAATATTCATAATTTATTCTTATTTCAAGATCATCTTAATACTAGAAGTATTAAGTAATCATTTTGATTGTTTCTATTTTTAAAATTAATACTTTTTTCTAATATCAAAGATAGGATTGTAAATATTCCATCAGAATAAAAAGAGTAATAAAAACTTAATAAGCTTAATAATAAAAGTAATAAAAAAAGCTAAAGCTACAAAATTCCAAAATTTTTAATACAAAAAAGATATTAATCTAAAAAATAGGAACGATAAAAAATAATCGCTCAATACTTTTAATATTAAGTGATACCTTAAGATGCTCTAATTGATTTTAGAACATCTTAAAACTATACTTAAAACAATAAAAATAGATTATGAATAGCCTCAATATATTATTTGTATATATTCTTTGAGAAATCCTCCGCCATATGAATTATCATAATTTGTGAAAAAAATACCTGCGAATAAATCTCTAGATTTAGGCCCAACATCAAGACCCATCCATCCATCGGGTATACCGTTTTCAACATCCGCAGCATCCACCACTGCATTTTCTGCAAATTTATCAGCGGTCACAAAATCTATTGGCAAATGAATTTGGACATTATTTTGTTTCGCCTTGTCCAATAAGTCATTCACAATTTTTGCTCCTTCTTCATCAAACAGTGAATTTCCAATCTATAATTGAATAAATGTTAAAAATTAGGAACATTGTAAGAATTGTTTACAGATCATAAATATTAATCCAGATCATAATTATTAAATGTTATATACCTTCATGTTTTTGGATACTTTCAAGAATGTGTATGCCATACCACCTCCAATAATCATTTCATTCACTTTATCCAACAAATTATTAATTAATTGGATTTTGTCAGCAATCTTAGCTCCTCCGAGTATAGCCAGAAATGGTTTTTCCGGATTATCCAGAGCTTTCGCAAAGTATTCGAGTTCTTTCTTTAATAGAAAACCACTTGCTCTTATATCAAATCCATCTCCCATCATGGAACTATGAGCTCGATGAGCAGTTCCAAAGGCATCGTTTATATATACATCTCCTAGCTTCCTCAAAGATGCTCTAAATTCAGTGACTTTATCTTTGTCAGCTTTAATCTGAAATAAACCAATTTATTATTTTTTTAATTTCATATTTCTATGTAATAAAACTAATTAAATTAAACTGATAATTCAAATAATGAAAATAATCTTACGTACTTTACTTCCATCTGGTCCTACTCCTTTGCCTTCCTCCTCGATATGAAATCTCAGATTTTCCAACAAAATGACAGTACCAGGTGCTGGATTGGCACAAGCAGCTTCAACCTCAGATCCAACGCAATCATTTAGAAACAAGATCTCTCTTCCTAAAAGAGTTTTTAGTTCTTCTGCTACAGGTTTCAGCGTATACTTCTCGTCTCTCTTGCCATCCGGCCGGCCTAAATGGGACATCAGAACGATAGATTTAGCCTTCTTATCGATAGCATACTTCACCGTGTCCAGCGCAGCAACAATCCTCTGATTGTTCGTTATTTTTCCTTCTTTCAGTGGCACATTAAAGTCGACCCTGAAATTATTGAATTAAATTATTCATATATTCCTGTTCATCCCTCTCTGTCTTCTTTTGAATGATTTTGAAGATCACATACCGTACGAGTACTCTCTTATCCGTCAAATCCACCTTATCGATGCTGAGCTTGTTGAACGCCATAACGAGGATGTTTTCCTTTGTAATTCCGTTTACCGGTTCGCAGATGTTCCTGAAGAAAAGGCGAGTACTGCCGGGCGTAACGAGTCCCGCTAACCCTTTATCGACGAGACACGTAACGTCACGCAGCCGACCATTCGAGGAGTCGCGACAAGTCGGTGTCCCAAAGTCAAAGCAAGGTCGTCGAGTGTGGCGACCTCCCGTAATTCCTCGCGACACACGACCCAACCGGATAGCAATCATATTCTTTTGCCAATATAATTATTACAAATTGTCGTCGTTAATCCACCTGCAATATCGCAATTTTGTATATCAAATGCTACGTACGCTATACCTTTATAGAATTTTTCTTCCGGAGAAAATCTAGAATGAAAAAATTTTGCCGACGAGTCTGCTAAAACTCAACTCTTACGAAACACTTCTGTAAATTATAAAATAAGGATTTTTATCATTGTTTTATCATCAATAAACTGTATAATTGATCGTATATGCTATATCGAGTTTCTTTCGAGGTCTTTCATAAGTCTTGAAATGCAACCGCGTAAAATAGATGTGCAGATAAATTAACCAATCGTAATACGAGAAATAATTTCATATTTCATGTCTATTTCTATCTATAGGTCAATTTTTTTAGCTGTACTTTTTGTACAGTTCATCTTTCATCTTTTTCTAGAATAAGAAAAGGAAAAAAAAAGATGAATGTGCAAGAAGTTCGATTAAAAAGAACAGGATTAAATAAGGTTTATTAATTCTAATAGTTTATCTATAACATATCCCTTGTACATAAATTTGAAAAAATTCTTGTATATTTGTAGAATCTTTGATAAGTTTTTATCATCACAGAAGTCGGATTATATTTTACTTATATTTTATAAAAAATTAATCCTTAAATTAAATATATCAAAATCAAAACAAAATACAAAAAATATAAAAATAAAATATTTGTCAAGTTTAAAAAATTAAGAATTATATAAAACATTGAAAAATTTATACTAAGAGCGAAATTTTTATATTCATAATATCGTTAAAATTAGCATCAAAAACATGTAAAATATAAAAAAAATTCGAATTATTAATCAACAATTTTCCGGAAAAGGAGAGAATATCAAATTCTGCTACTTAGTCATAAAATTTACAATAAAAAAATTTGGAAAAAAATATATAGTTCTGTGATTGGTTTATGATATCTTAAGACTATATACTTAATATGATCTTAAATATAAAAATCAATTATGAATACCGTCATAATATATTATTATATATTATTTAAATATAATATAAAAATAAATAAAATAATTAATTTTATTTTTAATATATAAAGAAAAAATTAAATTACGGAAAAATTGTATCATTCATTTTATTTTAAGTAAATCCATTTGTTGAATTAATTTCTAAATAATTTAATTGAATTTTAAAGCGTAAACATTTCGTATGTAAGTTATATAAGTTTTGATTGATTGTCATTAGAGAATTTTCGATGGAATTGACGGTTTCATGAAAATTGGCCTTTATCACACCTGGCCACTTACAAATGACGTGATTGGCGCCAATTTCTAAAGGTTATGTCAGATTATAATGCAGTTCCATACTCAACGTTGTAATTTAATCAAAAGTAGTCATTAGCGATGAATGACATAAGCATAGAAGAAAGTGAGATCGATAACATATTGATATGATCGACATCACTGACTAAAAATATTCCGGAAATACGAGGCAGAATGGAATCCAACGAGACATATCAAGACAAGAATGATAATAAGGGTATCATTTTCGCTTCTGGAAAGAAATATTTTTAAATAATTTATTTGCTTAATTATAATTATAATTAATTATAATAATTATATTTCCAGTGTAAATATACACTTGGTTTTATTATCATGTCAATCGTTTTCGAATTAAAATTTTGAGTCTTATTATTTATCACACTTTTAAGTTTTTTTATCATATTTTGTACAGCACATTTCGAATATCTTTCACATGACATCCTGTTGAATAATTTACAGATTGATCTGTAAGAAATTAAAATTATTAATTTAATTAAGATGATTTGCAACTACTTAAGAAATATTGCTCTGTTCAATTAGCAATTTATAAATGATATATTTCTTAATATTGTTTTTGCTGATACGTGTGTAAGTTTGATATATTATTTTAGCAAAAGATAACTATACAAATTTCACGACATCAATCCCGCTACTGAATGAATTGTTTCATGTACATTATAAGGTTGGGGAAGGAGCATTCAGTTCTGTCTATCTAGCTACTCTAAAATCTTCCAATACACATAAGAAATTTGCATTGAAGAAATTGATTCCTACTTGCCATCCCGAGAGAATCGAACGGGAATTGCATTGCTTGCAGCAGATAGGGTAAAAAGTGGAATAAATCTTAATATAAAAATTGGCTCTTATATAAATTAGTTAATACTATCGTGGACATGTTGAATGTTTTAGGGGAAAAGATTACATTGTTGGATTAGAACTTTGTTTAAGACACTGTGGCTCAGTAGTATTTGTAATGCCATATATGAGACATGACAAATTCTCAGTAAGTTTGTGATTTTCAAATCCATTTAACAAATCTAATTAACAAGATTTATAGTAATAATTATGAGTAATAATTACAGGAGTATATTCAAGACATGACTGTTGAAGAAACAAAGGATTACATGAGAGCACTACTAACTGCTCTACGAAGAGTTCATAATTTTCATATAATTCACAGGGATGTAAAACCCAGTAACTTTCTTTATGATCGTACAAATAGAAGGTAAACTATGCAAGAGAGTACTATATGATACTAGTCACTATATGATAAATATTAATAAATTTGTATTTAAATTAAAAAAGATAATTAAAATTTTAGACATTAAAATCAAGCCAAAAAACTATTTTATGTTCCTTGTATTAAAACATTTGATTTTTAAATTTGTATTTGAAAAATTTTTTTTGTGAAAAATTGTGATATGATTTTTGTTTAGATATTTGTTAGTGGACTTTGGCCTCGCTCAAGAATGTAGTGTAGAAAAACTAAAAAATCTGAGGAAGTTAAGCAGAGAAAGCACTGAAGTGAATACAAAACGAAAGAGATCTGATGAAGTAATGTTTTGTGATGGATTGTGACAGATAATTTTGTATGTTAAGATGATTTGATTCTTATCTCTTATTGTAATTTGTTCTAGAATAATTTAAGCCTTCGACCTGATTCTATCGCTAAGAAGAGCATGGATAACAAATGTTATTGTTTCGGGAAACCTAAAGTTTGTGCGATATGTTTAAAACTGCCACAGCAATCGGCACCTCGTGCAGGCACGCCTGGATATCGTGCTCCAGAGGTTTTACTGAAATATCCTTTACAAACGTCAGGTATCAAGAAGCGGTGATACAATGTGAAAAACATTTTCGTATTTCTAAAAACTATAAAGGAAAATTAAATTAATTTTAGCAATTGATATTTGGGCTTGCGGTGTAATGATGCTGTGCATACTTAGCGGCTCGCAACCATTTTTCCATTCGCCCGATGATTGCACAGCTTTAGCGGAGATTACAACAATATTTGGTTCTAATGAAATACAAAAGTGTGCGCAAAAATTAGGTATTTTAGGAATATTACAGTCGCAACAAATCATTTATTTACTCTTTTTGTTTCATTTTTTATTTTATTATGTTTATTATATTTACTTTTCTTTTCATTTGATTCAGGAAAAAAAGTTATCTTTAGTGAAAATTTACCAGGAATTAATATTATGTCTTTATGTTTAAAGTTAAAAGAAAGAAACAAAACCATGTTTAGTAGAGAGAATAGTTCATGTAAGGTACACTTGATTTATATTTTAAATACTTTTTATTTAATAAAGCAATATTGTGAGAAAATAGATATGACATTGATCAAGTCTTTGATTTTCATATATTAAAAAATACTAAAATTATTATAAGCAACAAAATTTTGTTATGAAATTATCTTTATTGCGAGAATGTGATATCTAATTTTTCTCTTTATTGCTTTAATATAGCCTATAATATCTTTATCTTGCAATGTCTTATAATTATCATAAAATTTTAAGTTGCCAGATATCAAATATCCTGAGGAAGCGTACAATTTTTTAATGAGACTTCTAGATTTGGATTACAAAACACGTATTACTGCAGAGGAAGCACTGGCTCATCCATTTCTGTGTTTGTGATATATTATGCATATCTCAGATATGTTAATGCATACATCTCTTAAAATACTTTAAGTGAAAGGAAGAAAAATTCTTGTAATAGTAATTATTTTGTTACACTTGCAGCTTTAGTCTATTACATTTGTTGTTTTCAAATTGCAGCTTTTTGTTAAAATAAGTTTTCGAGCTGTTTAAGTAAATTGTTGAAAATGAAAGATTTTCTTACGGTTTAGAATAAAAAAGTGTATTTTAGCAAAATATATACCGTAATATATAATTTCAAGATTTGTTAATATAACATAATAAACGTTAAATTAAAAGTTATGAAACAATGATCTCTTGATATATTGTCATCTCTTTTATGATATTTTATATAATTTATTATCTAAATTTATTTTTTTTATTATTCATTTAATTGCTATTTAGTTTTGATAAAAGATTTGGAAATATATGTGATTGACAATTTTTGCTATGCAGCATAACTACATACAATATATATAAATAAATATATAATATATTTAAATTGTAAATTGTAAATGTATTATTTTACAAATGTATTTGATAACAATTTCTAATTATATATGGATTTCATAATTCTAGATGTATTTATACTTAATTTAACAAAATATCATTTATTCGGCATTTTAATATTGTATCAGTAAACTTAAGTAATAAATAAGTTTTATTTTGCACGGAGAATAAAAACATATGAATAAAATTATATATTCCAAATAATTAAATATTCCATATATATTGCCAAATTGTATGAGTTGTATAAAATGTCAAAATTACAGAAATTTGATCATATTATCATTTAAGGCATTTGGTTTGAAGTATGAGAAACTTATATGATATTTAAATACTAATTAAATATTTCCATATAGAAGATCTGTTCTTTTTAGTTGAACTTTTTGTGATTCATCTCTTTTCTTTTTCTTTTTCTAGCACGGAAAGAAAAAGAGGAAAGGTGTCTCGTGCAAAAAGTTTAGCTAAAAAGAATAAGCCTAGAATAATTTTCTTAATCAACATGCTCAACATTACCATTTTCTGACGATTCATTTTGTTCGATGTTTTTCTTGATTAACTTCCATTCTGCGGCAGCTTCTAAAGCAGTGGATGCCAATTCCTTGATCTTTTTGTTTTCCACGGTATCGTTTTTACTCAACGCCATTAGTAGTTCCATTATGTCCGTTTCGATGAGTTTCGCAGCAACGTCCTTCGTGCTTTTCATCATATTTAGCACGATCACGATACCTCGATGTTGTATATCGCTGTTCGGATTAGCGAGTAAGAAGTGCAAAGATTCCAGCCAATCTTTCGAGTCGAAAATTTTCTCACAAGCCTTTTTGCTAGCCGACGTCAGCATCGCTAGAGTTCCAGCCGCTGCCATGCTAGTATCCTGATCTTCATCCTCACAGAGTATCACGAGATATTTGACTCGATCATTTTCCTTCTCGAAATATTGAACCACCTCCTCGCACATTACCAGATTATTTATAACTTGAGTGGCTGCGCGTCTCAGCATGTCATGATCTTCATACATGTAAGCTTCGATCTTTTGAAATCCTCCCTCCTTTAATATACGTTTTCGCACACTGTCGCTAACGCCAGCTAGATTGCACAGAGCCATTAGACTCTCGAAGTTCTCGAGAGCAGAACATTCTGGATTCAGGAGATTTATGAATGGTCGAACTACCTCCATGATTCTTTGACCGGGAAACGCGACTTCTGGATTTATCGTGATTCCCAGACGGGCCAAGGCTTGCGAGGCTTGCTTCTTTCCCTTATCTGTACCATCCAACGCTAACGGCAGCAGTGCCTTCGTGCCACCTTGTTGGACGACTATTCCTCTCACCTCCTGTTGACTGCATATCGCGTTGAAAACACGAGCTATCAATTCCTTACTGTTTTGGCTATCCGTTTTGGCAAGGCTGACCAAAGCGCTGGTCACACCGGCCTTCGCTAACGTACATAATCTTTTATTTACGAAATCGACGTCATCCAATTCATGTTCTTCGGGAATATGATGTTTGGCGAATTTTGCCAATTCTATCATCTCGGGTATGAGTTCTTGCTTATCATAAGCATTGCACAGATTTACCAATGTCGTGACTACACCATAAAGAACCGACTGATCGCCCGTCTTAGCAAGCTCAATCATCGCTTGAACGGCTTCCTGATCCTCGATCAATTTCTCTTTGACTTCGGCGTCGAAAGTGAGATATGATAAACCTTCCACAGCCCATTTTCTCATGTCTTTTTCCTTCTTAGGATTAATTAAAAATCGTCTGCATGCCTCAGCCAATTTTTTCGTCGCTCCATCTGCAAACGGTCTGATAGTTGCATCTGTACCTCCGGAACTGCCCAATTTGCACAATCCTACTAATGCTCGAACCCGAATCGAGTCATTTTTAGATTGATAAAGTTTCTTCAATATATTTACACCTTGATTTATGATCGCATTGGCCTTGTCTTTCTTAGTTGCAGCAGCAACGATACATTCGCAAGCCACTTTTTGCTGCAATACATCATCCGTTCCCGCCATTACAAGTATCATTTCCAGAATTCCTTCTTTAGCGACAACTGCATTTCCGACATCCAGCGGACCCAATAATAACGTAGTTATTGCAACTACTACACGCACCTATAAACAAATTGAATAATTCATAAACTTTTTTTTATAAAGTCTATCTTGTTATAAAGTCTATCTAGTTTATAAAGTTTATCTAGTTTATCTCAAAAGAAGCTAATTATGTTTTTTTAATGAAAAATAGGAAATGTTTAGAAAACTAAACTTTGTACAAATACAACAGATAAAATCATATTCTACAATAAATGTTAATTCAACTTTATAATTTTATAATTATAATTTTATTTTATATATTTCAATTTAAGTTTTGCAAAAATATGCAATGTCGATAATTGAAAACTTACGATGAATTATCTTGATTGACACTTACTTTAAAAAATATATTCAAATTTTTTCAAAAAGGTTATGTTTAAAAGGATTAGTTCTTTTATTTTGAAATTATCAGAGAAAATCAGAGAGTTATAGAATTCGTACCTTGGATTCTATGTCAGGCGAAAGTAATTTATCTTTGATAAATTCGTCAATGGCATTATTAAATTTTTCTTTGGCGGCATCATAATACATATTTTCATATATTCTAGCTAAACATACACTGGTTATAGTTCGCGTGGAAGACGTGATATCCATTGAGGATTCATATTTGTATTCCTCCATTTCACTAGCAACTTCCATCAGTCTTTGCAAACCGCGAAGCTCGACTAATCTTTCGGCCCAGTCTAACGCAGTATAATGAATATTTCGCATAATAAGTTCTATTATTGCATCTCTTGCAAGGCCTGTTATTGTTCTATTCGTTATGCTATACAACAGACATGACAGAATTGTGTCTATTTCCTTTTTATGCGCTTCACACATAGCCTTATCAGGTTTCGAGTCGGGTTTATTGTCCATACCGCTGTAAGTGTTCAATACAATCTGAAATTGAAATATAAAATAAATTTTGGAGTTGAGTATGATTGCACATGTTACATTAATATTTGTAATATTTACCTGCAAACAATGCTGAGATGCGTTAACTCTCTCTGCAAGCTTACTGTTCATCATTTCTAAATACCAGGGTAAACCGATGTCTTTTATGATAGATTCAGTTCGATTAATATTATTTTTGCATAATTCGCCTATAATACGAATCGCACTACAAATCACTTCCTCATTCTTCTCGAACTTCACAAATTTCGTTATTCTGGATACGCCTCCTTCTTTGAAGATTTCTTCGGCACCAGCTCTCTCACGTGCGAGCACAAGTAAATTATTCATAGCGGTTTCGCGTTTTTCCTGATCCGCGCTCATATTAAAGGCCAGATCCAGCATTTGTGATACCTAATACATATAAAAACTCAATGTACTATTAAAAAATATAATAATCTATAATAATTATACAAATTGTACTGAAAAATATTTGCATAATTTTTATGTATACATAGATCGTTAATTGATAACAATTATGTAATAAAAAAGGAAAAAGACTTCTGTTATACAATGATTAAAACAAAAAGTCTAATATACTTATAAAATATATAAAATATATATAGTACATATTTATGTTTATTGTATGTGATAAATTTTGTACAAATTATATATATTTACCTTAACACTAATACGTGAATTTTCTTTGTGACGTTCTTGAACAATCTCATGCAGGCGTGTTATTATGGGCTGAATAGCTTTGTTGTTAGGATCAGATAAAATGATATTTCTTGCATCCCGATATGCCTCCTCAAATCTTTCTAATGCTTCGAATGCTTGACATCTACGAAACAATGCCTTGGGATCGTTACAGCATATTTTTAATGCATTATCGCAGTCCTTGATCACCTTTTCATAATCTCGTAATTTCAAATAGGCAGCAGCTCGATTTTTATAGTATATTGCTTTTTCAGGATTATCGTCTTTTACCAGTTTTAGTGCGTTTGTATAGTGACTCAAGGCTTCTGACCAATTGCCTTTATTAAATTCTTCATTACCCTTCTCCTTCCATTGCAGTGCAGTTATATCTGACTTCGTCATAATAAAATAACTCTGTAACACAAAATACATAATACTGCATGTTTTAATACAATTTTTGCATATTTTTGACATTTTATATATTTTTTTAATAATATAAGAGTGTAATCTGGAGTTAACTTATTTTCTATCTTTTTTAATCCTAAGAAATAAACAAAGATAAAGAGCAAGTTGAATTGAGATTAAAATTAATTGGTAGAAATGGACATAAAAGGTTTAATTATTTAGATGTGAGATTAAATAGTTAATAAAAGATAATGTTAATTACAATATCTAATATAAAATCTGTATAAATTTTAATCAACTGGTACAAATTTAAATAATATAACAAAATCAACGATAATAAAGTTTCAGGAGTAAAATATCTCTGTTCTAGAGAAGTTGGAAGCATTCTTACTAAAAAAATAAATTTCCTTATTAGAAAGTAGTTAGTATTGAAGACTGAAAAGCAGTAAAGAAAAGAAGCAAACTCCAATTTGAGCGCCTTACCTTCCGTTTGATGACAAATGGTAATTGATCAACTTAGCAAGTTTTCAAACGCACAGCGAGCAATTCGATTTTCTCGGGCTTTATGCGACTGAAATTTGAAATTCAGCTTGTATTCATTCTTAATATAATATTTGGCAGCCGCTTTTATATCGTATTGGAAATGATGGAACTATCTAGACGTCGCGACATTCGCGAAGATTTATTTTAGACGAGACGTGTTCGACATATATAGGAACATTGGGTTTAATTATAGCCACAATACTTTCGACCTGTCAGCTGTAATTCAATTATATCATCGATTGAATGTTCGAGAGTAACGATAATAACGTTAATAATTTGCGATGCTACATGCAAATATTTTATTTCGTTTTTAACGGAAGACGTGATCATGTATTCTTTATCGCAAGAATCGAGAATCATTTACACTCTTTTGCTCCTCCTCCTCCATCACGACTTTTTTTAACCTCTCCTCACACGTGGAGGAATTTGAATTTCCCGAGAAAAACTTATCCGAAAGGAATTTGTGATTTATTTGAGGTTCACGAGAAATTAATTTGTGTGAAGATTAATCTGATTTGATTGACATTTTTAGACTCGGAGACATCAAAATTCTTATGTTTGAGGTTAGGGGACCCTCAACGAGCGCTACGATGTTTCGAGAATTGCGATTCGTCGCAATTGAAATCTTTGATTTTTAAAAAATTTTTGTCATTGTCGCGCAAAGTGAGTTTTGTATGCGAGGATTTGTTGTCAATTTTCGATTTCTCTCATTTTTCTTCTCTATATGATGGTCGTGGTTTTAAATCAATAAAAGCTATATTGTGCTTTCTTCTAGAAAAATATTTGCGGATACCTATAATTGATATCACAAATTAAAATTTATTTATATTTATTTCTATCGATGTGGCTTTAATTTTGGCTTAACTTACTCTTTACTTTTTTTTAAGTTTGTTTAATATTTTTATAATAGAAATAAACATAATATTTCTTTTGTTTTCTATACATGTATATATTTTTAAATGTTATAATATTATCGACACAGTAATTATTAAAAAACGATTGCAATCTTACAGAAGTTTGCGTAACTATAAAAATTGAGACGATTAGTTTATAATATAATATGAATATAACGATTTATCATTATATTCATAGCTTGTAAAGATTATAATTATCAATGATTAATCGATTGAATTGATTTCGTAATCAATTATCCATTGAGTCTGTTTGCATCCGCGGTGCTCATTTTCGACGACGTCTCCCTGATGTCGCTTCTGATCGCGTGCATTTTTTTTCGAAACGTGGTATAGCCCGGCGTTGTCTCGAAGATTTTCAAACGGAAGAAACGAACGTGCATGCACAGGGAGAATTTTGTACATAGATGCGACGATTCCGCTTGAGCTTTGTATAAAAATGACTGAGTATGCGACGAGTATATTCTCCTTCCACGACAAAACCCTCACCGAGAGGCTGGAGGAGTACACTAACATACTCACCACAACTGGAATAGTGCCAGCCTCGAACATTCGTTCGCAATGGGTCTGTGACGTGGAGGTCGTCATCGAACCGGTCGGTTGGCAGGCAATGTGGAAGATTTCGCGCGATACGTGCGAGAATTATAATATTCGCTATCCGACGATAGTAATGGTAGATGTGCTGGGGATGGACTTTCCTGCGTTGAATGCCCTGGTGAAGATCACGGCCGTTCAGGACGATATACAGCTGCCCGAGAAACACGAGGTACCGCTGATCGAGTTGTATCCCACTATCAATCAGAGTAACTCCAGCCTAGACATTGTTGGTACTGCACATTGCGTAGATCGGCTACGATTCTTCTACAATTATCTGTGGATGCCGTGGGACGATGAAGAGGATGACGATATCGATTGGGTGGAACAGCATCTGGAACATAGGATCAGACTGTATTATGACATGAATAATGGAGCTATCAATAAGGAAACCTGTGATATTATTAGATCGCTGATCAGTGAGGCAAAGGAGGTACAGAAGAAGATCTCAATGTATGAGGCATCACTCCCTGAGGATCTGCACGAGGTACCAGAAGAGTTGGCAGAAGAAACGTGTGTCTTGATGAAACTGCACTTTCGGCTTCAACAAATTAAAGCAGAGATGAATCTGCTGGAAGTTCCTTCATTGAGAGGATTACTTGGGAAGAATCAGTCTTATAATAAAAGAAAAAAGCGTAGTGACGACGAAAATAGGAAAAACATGTACTTTTTCGTTTGGTTAGGTGGCATTGTTAAAGAGCTGCAGGAACTTTCTAATAAAATTCAAACAATGTTGGCAGAGAATGCACCTATCAAGTTTGTTTTATTTTCATCAAGTAATATCGAGATAGTTAAATTGTTATTGCAGTCTGTCATTTATTTTTTTAGAGTATATGGATGCTTGGATGATGTTTTGGATATGTTCGAGACAGATGACACTATTTTGCTAGGCGAAGGAAACCATTCAATTAAAGGTGCAAACGGATTACAAGAAGGAGGTACAATTATAGGAATTTCTAATGTTGAAAATACTATTCTTTATCCACATGACCCAGATACATCACCATCTCTGTTTGATTTCTCCGGCAATGAGGTATTGTAGCCTCAGTAGTAAATTTTGTAACATTTCTGCCATTTCTGCTATTGATGATATGCAATTTATGAAATCTAACAGATATTGTTGAAGAATATTTGCGTCGACTTCCGGGATCTTCGGGCAGGCATAATTGTCAGAAAGGACTGTACTGTACTTGTAACTGGTTGCAGAATACGTGTGTCTAACGTCACTGCAAGCAGTGCTAAGTGGGGTGCGGTTATTATGCCAGGGGCCAAGTTAGTATTTGAGAGCACAGTTTTCCAAGGATTAGGAACAGCCATTGTTATCTATGGAACTGGTGAAGTTGTCATGAATAAATGTCGCTTTGAAAACTGTCAAGAGGGTATACGGGTAAAATCATTGACTTTACATTGATATTAACCACAACGTTATTATTTTTGGAATATTTGAATGAACATCGTCTTTTTTTCTTTTTAGCTCAACGACAAAGCATATCTCACCGCGACTAAATGTTCTTTCGAGAAAATCAAACATGGACGTGCTATAGTAATGGAAACTGATAAAGTAACTCGGGCGGTGAAAGTGAAGGTAGGACATGAATCGAGTGCGTCTCTTAAAGAAATCTCTTTAAACGAATGTGAATTCGGCAATGATGACAATGAATATATAATGTTACGACCGAAAGATACTGCCGCTCTCATGTATACACACGATGATGTTCCAGTAGTAGAGTTAACATCTAAAGAAGAAGAAATTACGGAGTTATGAATTTTATATTATTAGTTACATTGTAATTGTAAATTGTCGCTCGTAAAGTTATTATTCTTTTGATACAAAAGCATTGGCATATTTATAAAAACGACTAAAAAACATTTTATAAACTTTTGAATATTTTTTATGGAAATATATCTGGTTAAAAAAGAAATATTATTTTGCGAATGAACCATTTTTTGCCCAAGTTTTCCATGAAAAGTTTTCACCAGTATAGCTGGATTCATATTTTTGTTTGACTGATGTTTATTTCTCCAAATGTAGATTAATCATAAGCTTGATTTAATTTACTTGTTTCTAATTCTTAGATTTAAAAATATATTAAGCCCAAGTTAACTTATATAGAAATATGATAACTTATATAGAAATATTATAAAAACATCTTTTTATTATTGTATAAATTAAACCCATTTATGTTTATATAAATTAAACTAAGCTTTATCTGCATAAATAATAAATTAAACTGAGACAAAAATTAATCTATGTTGATAGAATTGGATAACAAGAATAAAAAAAAATAAATTATTATCTGATATTAAAGTTAATCTAACAGTGATTATTAATGGAACATGGAAATAAAAAAAGCTATATCACGAAATATTAAAGACGATCGGTCTTTAAAATGTATATTTGTATAATAAAAAATATATAAGTTAATTATTCAATGAATTTTATCGATGATTGTCAATATTCTTCAATTATCTTCGGGCCCGCTAGGTTCACTTGATAATCATGAAAATTTGTTGACCGGCCTTTAATAACATCTCGGTGATCATATTTTCGTGCATATCAATTTTTCTAACAGGTGTCGCCATCATGAAAGATTGCCGGTTTAATGGCTCGCGGCTGGTTTGTATCTCGTAGCTCGCGGCGTGTTGAGATATATGTCGCGTAACGTGGATATGACAATTCTGAAACTGCGAATTTCGGTGAAGGTGTTAACGGTTCGTTTCGTCTGTCACAAGCGTCACGACACATTCGCGTCGACTCGTTTGCTTCCGATCGTACCGAGACGGAATTTCACAGCGGTTCTCGCGTATTCCGATTTATTCCATAACCTCGTTCACGAGTCGCTGAGTCAGGAGCCTCGTTTTCGCGTCAACGAACGTAAGTATCTCTTCTATTCGACCACGAAAGATAATCATTTCTGAATTTTCTCGCCATGCGCATCCGGCGTATCTTTCGAATTCCCGGAAATTCGGCCCACGACGAGGACAGCTTCGAAAAGCTGCTGCGGCCTCTCTCGCGCCGCATGCGTGCTGCGTGTCCCTCCTCCGCGCGACGAAGGAAAAGGGTAGCGTGCACACACGCGTGGCCACACGAATGCGAATCGTGATTCACGGGCGGCCGTTATCTCAACCCTGACCGGCTTGCGTGAAACGAGCTTCGCCGCAGGCGTACCGTATCGCAGCTTTCCTTTCCCCTCCTGTTCGTTCTTCATGCGAACTGCTCTTCCCCCTCCACTCCTTTCGCTGCCATGTGCTCGCGCGCGTTGACACGTGCACTCGGCACGTATGAATGAAACGTCATTCGCGCCCACGTCAACAAGCTCGCGCCGAGAACATCGATCGGGCTAGCCGATTCCGAGTCTTGCTCTCGCCCTCTCGCCGCTAATGATTAATCGCGTTTTCCGTCGCCGAGCGAAATAAAATCGCGCCGCCGTCACGCTTTGATATTGAGGCGTGATGATTAATCGCGGGCGGCGAGGAGGTAACAGCGAGGTGGACGGAGATGGAGGAGGGAGGGTCGGGGTAAGCTGTCGTTGGCAGTGCGCTAAACGCGACCGCGTAGTCGTGATGTATCGCGCGGTGCACGGACGCGATGCATATTCATGGGCGTAAGGGTATTCTGGCGAGCGACATTGCAAAAATGACGAATCCTCCGTGTTTTGCGCGCGGTAGCCAGACTCGAGCTCGAATGTCACTATTACATTCCTGTAATATCTGTTATAATCCTCACAACCT